TCACTACTTTCAAAAACCACAGACTAGTTGCAGATCTTAAAAAAAAAATCTTATGAGACAAAATGAAAAATTAATAAAGAAATGAATTAAAATTGTATAAATAAATAAATTAAAGTTGAAAATAATAAAAATTAAAATTAATGGACTATATTAGTAATTTTATTCTAAAGTTTAGGAGGGTCTTGGGACCCAAGGACCCCCTACCTCCAATGACGGCCCAAACCTAGTTTGTCCTAGGTTTGTTGGGCATATGTTAGCCATATGGAGGCCTAGATTCATTGAAATAACCATTTTTTAAAAGTACTATCCCACAATATTAAAAATACACGTGTGGGATAAGAGAATGCTAGTGCGTAAGTGCAACTAACACTTAAGTCTTGATTGGTTTAAATGTATTTTTATTTTAATTAAAAGGAAAAGAGAGAATTAATGACAAGAAAAGTGTTTGTGTACTTCAACTCATATCAAGTGTGCATAACTCTTTTTTCATGAGATAATCAAGTTTTTGTGCAAAATCAATAAAAATTGTATTTTCTCCTACCTTGTGATTTGATTTTTTACATGTTAATTTAGGAAGTACTTTCTTGAATGGTTTAGTGAATGTTTAAAGCTCTTTTTCTATGTGTGATTTTTGTTTAGTAGTTATTATTTAATTCGTAATTTGTATGTTATACAAAATCATTAACTAAATTTTCGTGTAAAATGTCAATTGATCAACTACTCTAATACCAAATTTCTATACTATCTTTAAGCTTGTATTGATAAGACCTGAGAATAAATCACTCTAACGCTACGTTTTATATCTTGTTTACAACATTAGCTAAATTTTCATTGAGTGTAATTAATAATCGTGTTAACCTTAAATATAAAACATGAGAGTTAATTAAATTGGAAATAGTAATACTCTGTAGTACCCTACATGATTTTTACACACCTAAATAAATGTTTCTACCGTCTAAACTGAATTTAGAATAGAAGTAAAAATTTAAAAGTAGTAATATTTTGGTATGTAAAATTTTAATAAGACTATCATATTTTGCAGTTTGAAATGGCTGGATGTTAAGAGTCAAGGGGTTGACTCTCATCTAATAATCATTGTTGTACAATCCAGCACAATACAAATTGTATAACAAATTTTATTTTATTAATATGGGTGATGTTATAAAGATAACTTTTTTGTTTTATTTTTTTATATAATATTCACATATTATTAAATGAGTAAATATATTCAATATTACGATCTTATATAAATTAAAAGAATTAATCATTTTAATAACACGTCAAATTATACAAAAAAAAAAAATCAAACAAAATAACTGTTTCAATAACATTTCCCTATTATTATTATAAACCTAATCAATAAATGGGTCCAGTAAATCAGACAGAGGTAGTAGCAATAACCTAGTTATTAGTTGGCCGGTGGCAAAGATCTAAAAGACAGAATACGAGGATGGGCCACATTAGCAAATAGTGGGACAACTAACAGAAGCTACCGGTAAAAAGAAGCCCAACATTTTGTGTCCATCACTTGTTTTACCCCAAATCTTCTGATTTCATCCAGCAATGACCTAGCTCTAACTAGAAAGCATCAACAATTAATCATCAAAATGGTAGGTGATATATTCAACGAGAAATAATGTTTGACGAAAAAGAAATAGAAATCTTGTGTTGTCTATGTTAGAATGATAGAGCATGGCATGAACATGACACCTTTAAAGTCATTTATTTTTGTACATTTGATAATTTTAATGTTAGAAATTAAAAAGGTAGTAAGTCTATTTAATTATGTAAATATTTAAACTCAAGTTTCAACTGAATTTGAAAAGTTAAATTCATGTTAAAATGTGTAATCACTCATCAAGTTTAAGCTTAATTAATTTGGCAAAACTCATTTAAGTATATATGTAATAAACTTTCTAGTTAGAAAACTAAAATTTATTATTAAACTTAAACTTAAGCTTGAGCTTATTCATTGTATTAAACGAGTTTAAGCAAAAAAAAAGAAGCTGAATTAGAGTTAAATTCAATAAAATAAATACACAATAATCATTCTTCTTCTCATTATCATCCTTGTTTGTCTTTAAATTTAAACTAATAACCTTTAATGTGTATGGATGATTGTTCTATTGTTTAACCATTGAAACGTTCCTTAAGTGACAAGGGACTCCTTTGATCATGGGGGGCAACAACAGGAGGGCACAACCGATTGTATTGAAATATTGGTGACTTTTTTTGAAATAAACTTAAAAATTTGGGATCATACTGTTATTTATTCAGAAAATAAAAGTAGTTAAACAACCCAGACTTTGATATATCCGCCCGACCCACAACTTCACTTCTTCGCAACGGACTTCACGAAGTTCCGTCCCCACTCTATATCTCCTCAGATCTCTCCCCAAAACCAGGAACCTCCATAGCCAAATTATCCACTTCTTCTGCTCCGGAGATGCATTCCACTCTCTCCTTATCCTTCTCTCAATCCGCGGCGGCTGTCATTCCGAGATCGAGCCTTGCCTCCGTTGATTCTCCAGCTTTCGCTCAGTCCAAGCCGATAAACCTCCGGTTCTGTGGACTCCGAAGGGAGGCGTTTGGATTCTCTTCTCTGAATAAGTCTTGTTCCCAACGAATTTGTCTCCCTGCAAAGGGACACGGGAGGAAGGTTTTTGCTTCGGCGGCGGACAATGGGTCTGCTCCAAAGTCGTTTGATTATGATTTGATTATCATTGGCGCTGGCGTTGGTGGACATGGAGCTGCGTTGCATGCAGTCGAGAAGGTATTGTTTTTTATTCATTTTTGTTGGATTGAATTAGTTTGAATGGACTATGGCATTGGTTTGAGCTGAGAAATGGTGAGAAAATTTGATTACTGTTTGGTTAGCTCTTGCCCAATATGAGATTGGAATTTTGAATTTTCTTTTATCCAAGTATGTTCTTCTGTAGAAAATGTAATTCTTAGCTTATCTCGGAGCTGTGAAAATGGCGTCATGTGTGAAAGAAAGTTGATTTTCTGTGAAAAACGAGAATACATTCAATTGCAATTATCTTCTAGTTTTTACTGTTCCTCGACTTTCTAGATTCAGTGGGTATATAGCTGCCTAGCTGGGTATTTTCCTATATGTACGTATATTCAAGTGGCAGAAGGAGTAATCTTCATTATAACTATTTCAGGGTCTTAAAACTGCTATTATTGAGGGAGACGTAGTTGGGGGGACATGCGTAAACAGAGGTTGTGTTCCTTCAAAAGCTCTCCTGGCTGTAAGTGGTAGGATGCGTGAACTTCAAAGTGAGCATCACATGAAGGCTTTGGGTCTACAGGTAATTAGATTTAATTGTTTTTAAGTTGATTAGAGATGCACATTCTCGCCTTGTCATTTTCTCTTTTCATTTGCTTATTGTTATTTGTGCATGGTAATACCATTCACGCAAGTGATTTTGAGTTTCTTCAGCCCGAATCTAATTCTTAATCTGTTTTATTATTCCTTATGCATGTCTATGTTACAAACCTTTTTTAATACAGCCACAACTATTTATTTTACTATTCTATTTCTTGTTTTTTACTTAAATAGGTTTCAGCTGCTGGATATGACAGACAAGGAGTTGCTGATCATGCAAATAATCTTGCTTCAAAAATTCGCACTAATTTAACCAACTCAATGAAGGCACTTGGAGTGGACATATTGACTGGTGTTGGTACGATCTTGGTAAGTCTAATTCATTTCCTTAAACAAAATACATGCACTATGGTCTTTTAAAATCTCAACTACCATAGCTTTTGTAACAAAATTTTATGTATTTGTTCAGGGCCCTCAAAAGGTGAAATATGGGAAGGTTGGCTTACCTGAAAAAATAGTAACAGCCAAAGATATAATCATAGCTACCGGTTCTGTTCCTTTTGTCCCTAAAGGCATTGAAGTTGATGGTAAATGTATCTTCTAGTCTCTTTTATATTTAAAAAATGTGTTTTTACCTTTTATTTTTTAGAAAAAAAAAAAAAATTGCTCCAATAGAAGGCTGAACATATGTCCCATTTGACTGTAATGTAATGTTTTCTATTGCCTTAGGCTCTTACTGATTGTTTGCTAATTACTGCAGGAAAGACTGTTATCACCAGTGATCATGCGCTCAAATTGGAGTTTGTTCCTGACTGGATTGCAATTGTAGGAAGTGGTTATATTGGTCTTGAGTTCAGTGATGTTTATACTGCACTTGGCAGTGAGGTAATGCCTTTCTTCTTCTTTTCCTTTTCTTTCCTTTTTGCTTGTAATGCACTTAAACATATGTTTTATAACCACATATTGCAAATTTTCAAAGTTTTGAAACATTTAATGGTTGTTTTCACATGATGTGATGGTAATTGGTTACATATATGGTTTAGTTTGTAATATCTTAAGATCAAGGTTTGTTAGTGTTGAACTCTGAAATTGGCCACATCCTTTCTGTTTGATCCATTCAAGCTTGCATAATTTGGAAGAGGATTAAATTCAATTTGTAAATCGCTCAATAACACACATATAGGTATTTCAACTTGGTTTTACCTAAGTATGATCTGGAATTCCTAAATGTCCATCTAAATGCATAAAATGTTTATGCAGGTAACCTTTATTGAAGCCCTAGATCAGCTTATGCCAGGATTTGACCCTGAGATTGGTAAACTGGCCCAGAGGGTGCTAATCAACCCAAGGAAAATTGACTATCATACTGGAGTATTTGCGAGCAAGGTAATGAATTGCTTATTATATCCATGTGCTATCTTTCTGTTACATGTTCTAATCATGTTCTCTAATATTTTCAATAGATCACACCTGCAAGAGATGGAAAACCAGTCACCATTGAGCTTATTGATGCCAAGACTAAGGAACATAAAGACACTTTGGAGGTAATACCAAAGATGCTTTTTGACAAAACTGTGGGCTTGCTGCTTGCATTGCCCCATTATTCGGTTTTGTTAGTTATGGCAGCATAATTCAACTGTTTAGGTAAAAATTTATGATCTACTACAGTAACCATATAGATTTGCATTTTTTCTATGTGGCTCTATATTTAATCATGGCCATATTTAAAATTATTCACCTTGCTGCTATCAGCCTTCAGTCATGTGAATCTGTAAAAACAGTTGTGCTATTTTGTGAACTGGTTGAATGAAACCTCGAGGACTTCTTCTCCTCCATGAGGAGCATATACCTTTAAATTTGCTTCTTGTTTGGATTGTTGATCATGTTTAAAGGTTTAGTTAAAGGTTCTATCTTGCCTGTCTTTTTCTATTGCTAGTCAGATCTATATTCTTGACATTGTTTAACCATTAAAACTCAGTTATGTCAAGGCTTTATTGGATTTTCTTGAACCAAGTCAATTTTATTTTTTGTAGATCTTCTCCTATAACTATCCTGGTCATAAATGGTATAAATCTCCTTGATGCAGGTAGATGCAGCATTAATTGCAACTGGAAGGGCTCCATTTACAAATGGTCTTGGCTTGGAAAATGTATAAGTCTTCTTGATGAAACCATAATTACGAAATTATAGAGTTGTTCCCAAAATCAAGACTGGATTTATATTTGGTTTCTTTTGGTTTTCTCAGATAAACGTTGTAACCCAACGAGGTTTTGTGCCAGTTGACGAGAGAATGCGAGTAATTGACGCAAATGGCAATCTGGTTTGTTCCAAAGTCCCCTGTGTTTTATGTCATAACTGTTTCCATTGATCACTAATTGTTAACTTTTGGTTTAGGTTCCTCACTTATATTGCATTGGTGATGCAAATGGTAAAATGATGCTTGCACATGCAGCCAGTGCACAAGGAATTTCAGGTACGTGCTCACTGACACTTTTTGGGTGATTCAAATATTGAAACTCATACACTCTTTTCACAAATGCGATTGTAATCTTTTGCATATATGTCTTGACAGTGGTTGAACAAGTCACTGGAAGAGATCACGTGCTTAATCATCTAAGCATCCCAGCTGCTTGTTTCACTCATCCTGAAATAAGTATGGTTGGGTTGACAGAGGTAAATGCTCTGATTCTGGTAGCCAATAAGATATTAACTTTTATATGTTTTTAGATATTGGTATTATACGTTGTTTGAATTAGTAATATAGTCAAGATGGATCATTACTTCTAATGATTCTTTTAATTTCTTGTCATATTCCTTCTATTTTATTCTGCTTAATTTGTGAAATAGGACTTCATGTTGTGTTTAACATCTGAAATTTTGACAATATTATTAACTTTACAGCCTCAAGCAAGAGAGAAAGCTGAGAAGGAAGGGTTCGAAGTGAGCGTAGCCAAAACTAGCTTCAAGGCTAACACTAAGGCCCTAGCAGAAAATGAAGGAGAGGGACTTGCTAAGGTGTTTTCTTTTGGCCCTTTTCCTGTGTATGACTATAAAACTGGGTAAAAAGACTAAAAAAAGGAAAAAGATAAAGAATTTATTTTTCCATACACACATCCTTACTGCTGTAGTAAAGTCAGAATAATATCCTTTTTCTCTCTTTTGCCTTTTGCATAAGCTAATATGTTATTGTAGCCACTGTTCACCCTTGATATTTTTCTTATGTTTTAGTGATGTTGCTTGATTTTTTTTTTTCTCTTGCCCTTGCCTAATTTGTCACTTGTTACTACTTCCTGCACGGTTCTTACTTTTGCCTTTGTTATTATTATCATGCAGTTGATATACAGACCAGATAATGGAGAAATACTTGGAGTTCATATATTTGGGTTGCATGCAGCTGACCTTATCCATGAAGCATCCAATGCAATTGCACTAGGGACACGTATCCAGGTGTGCCTTCTGTGCTAAAATTGAAATGTTTATGACCCAAACTGATGCCTTCCTAAAAGACTTAGTGAAACTTGTTCTGGATGTCATTTGTAATTATGAATTTATAACTTTATATTTTCAACATACAGGACATAAAATTTGCAGTTCATGCACATCCAACCTTGTCTGAAGTTCTTGATGAATTGTTTAAATCAGCAAAGGTGAGCTTCTGATGTTCCCTTCTAACACCACATTTTGCAAAACACACCATCCTGACTCAGCTATCTCTTTGGATGGTCTGCACATGCATTTCTTAGAAGTTAAAACTTCTTTCTGCATATTGCATTGAGTGATTTGAACTTTTGACTGGTACCCGTTTCAAACTTGTTGTGACATGCATGTTTCTTTCTCCAATCTTTTGTTAACTCATTGGACCAGGTTAGAGCTCACAAATCTACCCCGGTAAGTGAACCAGTTGCAGTCTAAAGTTTATCATGATTCAAGAATCAAAATACTCTAAAATTTGAAGAACTTTGCTTGTATTACGGAGCTTCAGGGAGCCAGGGAGCCATGCTACTGCAGGTCAGGGATGAAATCACGTGTCTGAAATCTTTTACAGCTTTGTATCATGTTTTGTTGAATTATTATCAGATGATTTACATAGATCATAGATCCATTCATAACCATTTGAATTTGGAAGTTCCCACTTCTAGTTTTGACTTTGTTGGAAATAAGCAATGATAGATAGTGTTATATTTACATCAAAATTTTATCCATGTAAGTCTAAAGTAAGTGAATGCGTGGAGCATGGTAAGGATTTCCACTTAAACAAAATTATTTCTTGAATCATGCCTGATCAGGATATTTTTAAGCATAGAAAATTGAGTGCAAACTGCACAACAATATTCTCTTTCAAGAAACCCTTTTTATTTTCTCTCTCTTGCCATTGCATGGATGTGGTACTGAAAAGCATCAATAGTTTGTCAATTGCCAGAAAGTTTTCTCAACACGGTAATTATAAGCGACATTGGGTATGAGATTGAGAACCACAGAAGTACATACAAGATGAACTCTCAGCTACAGGTACAAAATGTGGAGCAGCACAGGCGATCAGGAGTCTTTAAATACGGTCCATCTGGAACGGAGCGTAGAGAGGGGGTGTTGTATGGGCAACATTCTGGCTTGAGAGATGAGACCATCTAACATAAGTTCGATCAGACTCTTTGATAGAAAATGCTTTTGTAACAAGGCACAAACTTGTAGCACTAATGCAATAGTGTTCTTAAAGCCATTCACCATTTTGTTAATTTATCTTGATTTCATAACGAAAGATAACCGTTTTTTATCCCTTATCTCATCCTTATCTCATCCCATTTGCTACGACTTAAACTCAGATCTTCTTACTTTCTGCAGAAAAAAATTACTATTAAACTACTTAATTCATTGACAGTTTTAATTTTAAAAAATTAATTATAATGTTGAAAAATATCAGCATGACAAGTCTACAACCCAAACTCCAAAATACTAAATCTAGTAGACCCAACACTAACACCAGACTAAATCTAGAAGATAAGAGTGGAAAGTGAAAAATGGTAACATGCAATCACCAACATTTTACAAACAAAAAGCTAAACTGTAGAGGAGTCAAACATGTCAATGCTACATTATGCTAGAACGGGAGCAAATAAACTCCAAACTCTCTGCTTGATATTGCTATTAATAGCTCAGAGCTTAAATCTTTTTGAAACAAATATCAAAAATACTAATCCATAACAATAAAAAACACTCAAACATTACAGCCAGTCTACTACAATAAGTTGAAAGTAAATAAGCCTACATCCCACTAAGAACACAAAACAGACCCAATTGAAAAAAACCCTAACCAATTAGCCCATTTAGTGAATTTACTCTTCCTCAGAGGCAGTTTCTCCACTCTTGTTGTTGTGCTTCCTTGCATACCTCTGGTTCCTCAAAAACTTCGGGTCCATCTAAAAACAATACAAAAACATCAGAAAATACCCAAAAGGAAAAAAGTTAATAACAATAAATAAAAATATACACACGAATCCATAAATATCACTGAAATTAATATCAAGAATTACTCAGAATCAATAAATTAAACCCAAAATGGGAACGAAAGAGGGAAAAGAGCATACCCCTTTGGTGGAAGTGTGGCGATGCCTTTTGGGCTTCTTGATACCATTCTTGTGCGCCTTATAGGACTGGTTGTGTGCGGTGTGGTTCTTCGACTTCGCCATCTCTGCAACAAAAACACCAAAAACAACATTTCTAAGTGAAATCAAAACGGGAAAAATGAAGGGACTTGAACCAAAGACGAAGATTGGGGTTGAGGCGGAAGCCAACCTTGGGGAAGAAGCAAGCGGATGCGGCGGTGCTAGAGGTTTCTGGTGGAGGAGAAGCCCTCTTTTTTTTTTTTTCCCGCTACAATTGAAACCCTAGTTGCCAGATCTCAGATTTTATATTGTAACCCATGTTTTAGCATTTTGGATCGATCGAGATTATGGTGGGCCTTAAGAATGACCCATTTGGAAAAGGAGAAAACGGATTTTGGGCTCAAAAGGGCAAAAAGGAGAAAGGGTTTATGCCTCTTTTAAGATCTATGACCATTTGAGCCTAATAAACATTGTTAAATGGGCTTTACTCGAGTTTGAGCCTAGAGTCCAAACTATTCGTGAGCATAGTGTTCTGCACTGCTATGGAGAAAATTAATGGTTAAAACGTCATTTTGGTTTCTTTATTTTAGTAAAAAAAATTTTAATCTTTTTACTTAAGAAAATTCTATTTTAGTCTCTAAAATTTATTATTTGGTCTCTTTTTACTCTCTCCATTATTTTTTTACAAAAATATCACATTAGATCATAGAAATTCTAAAATAGAAGGTCTACAAAATATTTTTTTTAAAGTAAAGGAATTAAAAATGAATTTTATTAAGTATAAGGACCAAAAAGAGATTTCTTTAAATAGAAGGACCAAAACGGACTTTTTTATTCTATTTTTAGTCCTTATACTTTAAAATTTTTCATTGTCAAAAAAGTAAAGGGATTAAAATGGGGCAGATAATAAATTTTAGATTTAAAAATAGATTTTCTCAAGTAGAAAGACTAAATTTTTTTTTTTATTAAAGTAAAGGGAGCAAAAATAAGGTTTTAATTAAAATTAATTAATTGGGTCGAAAGTGGTCCATAGGGAAAATTAATTAATTGGGCGGAAAGTGGTCCATTTGAATAGAGAAAATTAGTTGGCCTAATGAGCTAACCAAAGGCCGAGCTGTTGAAAGCAAGAAACGGCACAAAAAATAACACATTATTCTGTGTCATTCCTGAGTTTTTCGCATCCAATTCAACCCCTTGGCGTCGTTTCCTAAGTACACATTCTCTCAATTCATAGATCTCACAATTTGGATCTATAAAGTTTTGATCTTTGTTACCCCAGAAGATCTGCTTCTCTTTATTCCCAGCTGGGTTTGGCCTTGTACTAGTTTCTTCACTATAGAAGAAACATGTTCTTGTTCGATTGGTTTTATGGGGTTCTTGCATCTCTGGGTTTATGGCAAAAGGAGGCCAAGATTCTGTTCTTGGGTCTCGACAATGCGGGGAAGACAACGCTTCTTCACATGTTGAAAGATGAGGTATTGTCGAGGAATCCATCTTGTTTTGTGTTTATGTTATTGGGTTTGTAAGATTGATGATTGTGTTTGATGATGGTGATTGTTTGCAGAGGCTAGTGCAACACCAGCCGACCCAGCATCCAACTTCTGAGGAGCTGAGTATTGGGAAAATCAAGTTCAAGGCTTTTGATTTGGGTGGCCACCAGATTGCTCGCCGAGTCTGGAAAGATTATTACGCTAAGGTAATCTGTTTTCTCCTGATCTTCTGGTCTCATCCTTCCTTGAATAAAATTTTTCATCTTACTTGATCAATGTTCATTGATTTGATAGAGTCAATACCATTATATGGGCTTTCATTCTGTTTTTTGATGCTTCATTGTTAGGATTGAAAATTTTCTGGTGGGAATTTATTGTTTATGAATGTATGCTTATTCTGATTGGAATAGTGGACCTTGATGGCAACTGATGTTTGTAATAATTGTTGTTCATTTCATTTTCCAATTGTATTATATGTGTGGTTATGTTTGTTTGGAATATAGGTGGGGGGGACCTGGTTCACTTTTTTTTTTTGGCTGTCATCCCTTTGGAACAGTAAAAATACTAGTTTGGTTGTCAAACCCACCTATCATGGATGTAGATTTGCCACCCTTCCTTTTCAGTCTGCCTTGTTGGTTAAGTGTTTTACTTTTAACTTTTCAATTTTATTAGAGATGGCAAGGATCAATCTGTTCTAGTTTTGTGGATGACAAAATTGTCCCTGAACTTACCAGCAAAGTTCACTCTTATCTACCTGTGTTTTACCAGACTTCCTTACCAATAAGTTTGAGTTACATTAGGTAAAATTTAGTGCAAATTTTTCACTCATAATCCCAGCTAAACTGTCCTTGTGTTTATCTAATTCATGGGAGGGCAGATATTGATAACGGAAGTTTTTGCTGGTGGTACCTCTTCCTATCCTCCTCCTTTTTTTCTTTTTTTTTTTTGGTGTCTGGAAGGTGTTTCAACACATGATCTCAGCTTTATCAAAGTGTTATCAGAAGGAGTCATTTTGCAGATATTAGTCTTATGCAAGTCAATGTTCACAAGATCTATTTAAGTTGGAGGGGCAACTTTTGAAGTTTCTTTTTGCCTGTGGAGTAATGTAGCTGTAGCTGTATTTATTCCTAGAGAGGAGCTTATCTCTCCACTAAAAAATGGATTGACTGTTTGAGTAGCAGTAACTAAATTCCACTACTTTGTTGTCTATCTCATTATTGGTCTATCATGTGTTTTGTCAAAAGATGCTCCAATTCCAAGTTGATTAATTTCTTCCAGCATTGGCCTTAGTTCTCACTTTGGTGCAATATCTGAAGTGTGGCAATGCCTTACTGCATGGACTGAAGATTTTTTCCATTTTCCCCCTTGTATCTTTCTCCAAGCATCAATTCTACTCACAGCACATTACTTGTCGAATGATGATGCTAAAAATACTGTTTTACTTGCCGAGCAGGTTGATGCAGTAGTTTACTTGGTGGATGCTTTTGACAAGGAGAGGTTTGCTGAGTCAAAGAGAGAATTGGATGCCCTCCTATCAGATGAGGTGCTGGTGAATGTTCCATTCCTTGTGCTAGGCAACAAGATTGATATCCCCTATGCTGCTTCAGAAGAAGAGCTTCGTTACCATCTCGGATTGACCAATTTCACTACAGGTAAAGGAAAGGTGAATCTTACACAGTCCAACGTCCGCCCTCTTGAGGTCTTCATGTGCAGCATTGTTCGCAAGATGGGTTACGGGGATGGCTTCAAGTGGCTATCTCAGTACATCAAATAGTAAGTATCAGAAAGATTTAGTATGCATCCCTGTATTCTTTAGGACCTTTTGCTTCCATTCATGCAGTGTGAGACTGGGGTTTTTAATTGACAAAGCAAAATTTTATTGTTTTTGTAACTCTGGTATTGAGAGAATTAACCATCAAAAAATTTGGTTTCATGTTTGTTGGCCTATAAGGAAAAGTGCCATGCTATGTCATCTTATGGCAATTGCAATATGGCAATAAAAAGGCACTTATTAGTGCTGTGTCTAATGTTTAGGGATATGCTATACAATGAGGAATAATTCTTCTCCAACTTCTGCCGACCTCACTGTCATATCTCCAAATTTCAATTGATTAATAAGGAGGTAACTTTTCTCATATTGGATTAAATGTAATTCAATTTTTAATTAATTAAAATTTAATGTGATTATCAAATATTAAAAATTAATTAAAAAAATAACATGTAAATAAATTTTTTGTGAAATTTTTATGAGTAATGCTAAAGACACTCTAGCACTCTCTTTTATTATTCATGTAATTATGATCACTCGTACCAGAGTCCGCTTCTTTTGCCAAGTAAGCTAATGACAGCAACATTGCCACTAATTTCTAAAATTAGCGGCTGCCGCAACCTTATGACGCGTAGCAACCAATCAATGTCCTCCAGCTAGGACGTCCAATTCAGTACTCATTTCACTAAATAAATAAGGGCAAGAATATACGTATAATTTTTTGGATTTTTCTACCACACCTCTGGGGGATACATTAATTATATATATATGTTTAATAATTATTGTAAAAAATATAAAAGCATGAGTTTTGTAGTCTAATAATTATATATTTTATAGTAAGGTGTATTTTTTAAATATGGAGTTGGGAATTGAATCCCAGTCCATAAAATTGTAAATTGTTCAAAAAGTAAAAAATCATTTTAATTTTATTAATGATCAAATTAAAATTATACATAAGTCAAATAGTGATGAAAAAGAAACTAATTTTTATATTTTTAATATAAAATAACATAAAAATGTATGATTAATATACTATTAACACATGATATATTAGATAATTCTTAATTTTTTTATACAATTTTTTTTTGAAATTCTAAATTATACAATAAAAAATAATTTTCTCATATCCTTTTAACTCATTTCGTAATCTGACTCAAAGATCACCAACTTACATATCATTAAATAAATTCATACATATAATCTCATGGCTTTTAGTAAAATAAAAAAAATCATTAAATTATTCGTATAATTATACTATAAAAATTATATGAAAAAATTATCTCACAATCAATTTCTTATAAATAAGAAATTTTTTTTAGCGGTGTATTAATTATTTTTGTTAATTATTTTAAAAATAAAAAATTACTTTAAAGGTTTTCTTAGTTTGTGTTAAAGATTTTTTTAACCTATACTATTAGAACATAGATTAAGAGTATTTTTATAATAAATGTGTATAAAAAAATATAAAAACTTATATTAATTTTAGTGTTAGGTGAATTTAATTAAACAGTTAATAAATTAAAAATTAACTTTTATTTTTTTAATATAAATTTATAACAAAAAATATATTTAATATTCTCATTTTTTAACATATACTCTAAAAACACAAGTTAGATCAATCCTTGTGTTAAAAATGTATTTACTGCCCTAGTCAATTAGTTATATAGTAAAAATAAAATTTGATTTTAATTTTTATAATTAATTAATTAAATTAATATACATAACATTGATATTAATTTTAAAATTAATATTAATTTTTTATAATTCAATAATTAAAAGGTGTATCTGATTGAAAATTTCTTAATTTTATAAGCATGCGCATTACATTAATAATAGAAAATAAACATAAAGTTAACTTTTTGATTTTTATAAAAGTTAATTGAAAACATGCAATTATTACATAACATATGGAATTATGGCATTATGGCTTAGGAGAACCTTATAAATAAATAAATAAAATCCCTCAAATTCCCTCGTAAACACAGCAAAGCGGTATCCAATATTTTTCCCTTCTGCAACTTTCTTAGAATCCAAACGCTACCAGAAGGAAAAGGCAATATGTTTCTCGTAGATTGGTTCTATGGAATTCTAGCGTCTCTTGGGTTATGGCAGAAGGAGGCGAAGATACTGTTTTTAGGGCTTGATAATGCTGGCAAAACCACTCTGCTTTACATGCTTAAAGATGAGGCAATTATGATTATTTTTTTCTAGTTTTTTAATTCGTATCAAAGTCTGTGTTACACTTTTTAGGTGTTTCTTTCGTCAGTTTTATTGATTTCGTTCTGTTGTTAAAATTACAACTGGGTTGTTTGTTTGCTGAGAAAATTTGAAGGAAAATAGTTTTTTGTTTCCGTATATTATTTTGAAGAAAGGAATCGAATTTGTGTAGTATAACTTAGAATGATTATTAGGCTGTATGTTAATTGAACTGAAAAGTTTTGGGTTAAGTGAAATTTGGAGTTGATTGCAGAGATTAGTGCAACATCAGCCTACGCAGTACCCAACATCGGAGGAACTGAATATTGGGAAGATCAAATTTAAGGCCTTTGATTTGGGAGGCCATCAGATTGCCCGCAGAGTCTGGAAAGACTATTACGCCAAGGTTTCCTCCTCCTTTTATAGTTTCATTCTTTTTCCTACTTTAATATTTATATGAGACAACAAAAAATTGGAATAGTGCGGATCCTGACTTTATCACATTCATCATGTAAATATATAGGACAGTGTGGATCCTGATTTTATCACATACATCAAGTGGTGCTCTTATTTAATCATATTGGCATTTACTGATTTTCCTTTTTCCCTATTTTTATTACCTTTAAGTTTAGGATGATTTGTAGGGGAAAGCTAAGGAATGTAAAGGAAATATTGAGGCATGTGCTTGGTGTTTTGAATTTGGTTGCATCATTGAGAAAAAAGTTTTGTTGTTGGATATTGGATTTTGACTTTCAAGTATCTTCATGTGACTATCATCAAAAGATTTCTTCTTGTTATGTATCATTTGGTTTATTTTTGGTATAGGGTTAGGCGTTTAGATTTTCAGTTTCTTAACATTTGCTCAGGCTTTCCCATTGATTTTTTTTAATTGCAAGTTAAAAAGTGGTAGTTAGCATCATATGCAAACAAAAATGTTAGGTGCATTATGACCGTTTGGAAGGAAGTGTTTAAGGGAAGAGTTTGCCAATGTGTGAAATGTGTATTATTTAAGAAGGTAAACAAACATGTATTATACATGTGGAAAATATGCATATTGATGTATAGTGTATACGGTATACCTAATATATTCCTGGGAATTTCTGATTTTCTTGGGCCAAGATTTTTTGTGTTTGTGTTCAAAACAAGGAAAACATGGTCTGCTAGTCTTTTATTCTTGATGCTGATGTGAATCATGTGCCAACTTATTTTTTTTTCCTTTAGGTGGATGCTGTGATATACCTTGTGGATGCCAATGACAAGGAGAGATTTGCTGAGTCAAAAAAGGAACTGGACGCTCTGCTCTCAGATGAGTCGCTGGCTACCGTCCCTTTTCTCATTCTGGGAAACAAGATTGATCTGCCTTACGCTGCTTCGGAGGAAGAATTGCGATACCATATGGGCCTGACCAACTTCACCACAGGCAAGGGGAAGGTTAATCTGGCGGACACAAACGTTCGTCCCCTTGAGGTCTTCATGTGCAGCATTGTGCGCAAGATGGGATATGGAGATGGTTTTAGGTGGCTCTCTCAATACATTAAGTAAGCAAACGCAAAATAAACGAGCAGGCCAGCTATTTACCTTGCAGATTTCTATGTTCTCTTCTAGTTTGTCTGTGTCTTGGGTTAATTACTTTGTAAAGTATAATATAGTCTTTGGTTATTAGTAGTTTTTATATCAATATACATATTAGCTTGAAAACTTGTTTTCAATTTTTTCGAGCTATATTTGTTTTGCACTGTCAACTATGTTAAACCACTACCAACGAGGGGTTGGATCAAGTAGCAAGCGACTTGTTCCAACTTAAGCAAGGTCGAAACCTTGTATACGCAGCAGCCTTCGTTGGAAGACTCATTCACCATTTTGGTGTGCTACAGTTGATCAAGTTTGGAGTAGTCGGGGCGAAACCCCAGATACTGAGCGGGAAACCAAAAAAAAAAAACTATGTTAAACCACTGGGAAAAACGAAAGGAAGAAATATGGTGAAATTCACCCATGTTGTTTAGCATTACGAAATCCCCATTCTACATCTATGAAACCTTCACAATTCTGAAGTGCCAGTTTACAGAAGCTTTAGTTAGAAAACACTTACTACAATACAAAAGCTCTAGTTGGGTCAAACAGGCAGCAAGAAAAGTTCATTACTAATTTAGAGGTTTTATAGGGAATACTGACTTAAACTCGTCCTACTGTTATAAGATCTACATAGATGATACACAAATCTTACCCTCTCATAGTCACAGAACGGATTGAAAGGTCCTCGTTACATCTAAGCTAATCTAGACATTCACAACATATACAGCTTCCCAAGGATTATTCTTCTACTCTTTGGTCGAGCCTGTGGACGATGAACCTCGGTATTTCAAGTATCCATGTCTGCATCGTAGAGGAAGTCTTCTAATTCCAGCTGCACAAGAAACCAAAACCTGCTGGTTAAATGACTGACTAAAAATACAGAACTAAAATCAAGTTATAGGAAAATTACACACATTTGCTTGATTATGGGTTAGTTTCATCCTCCGGTATTCCTCCTGTGCTTTCTTTGAGCGGAACATGGTTTGGACTGTTAGAACAGCTCGCTCAACACGTTCTTCAGCTTGAGTCCGGCTGGCTCTGTAGAAGTCTTCTTCTGTGTTGCTTTCCTGCTGTCTTTGATCTGGAACTGGTTCAACTGGGTTAACATCAAGCCCCCGAAAGCCTTTTCTCTTCAAACGCCATCGTAGAATTGCTTTCTCAAGCACACCAACTGACCAAATAATCTTGCGGTACTGCCTCCGCTCTTGTAAGCCCCGAAAAGCAGCCTGAATTGGGAGATTTATGCAATTCAATCAGTCGAGTCCAGATTCAGTATATAATCAAATAGTCATTTTCATAACTTTGCCACAAGCACCAAGGAACTTGGCAAAAAATTTGAATATCTCAAACAAAATTAATTCCCATCATGTGATATCATGAATTTAAAATAAAATTGTTAAGTTGGTTGACTTCCCAACATTAGAAATTATCATTACTTAATTTCAGCAGGGTGCTTGGACTACATAGAAGGAGATTAAATCAGCAGGCAGGGAGAGGCTTCGACCAGTTAGTACTAAACCTCTGTGGTAATTATTGAGTAATTATGTACATATTGCAACAGCTTGCTTGGAGGATTTAAAAGGAGATTCTATCAGCTAACCATCACTTATGACACTAAACACTAACAGACGCTTTTCTTTCCACCATGTAGTGCTATATTCTTTCAGGCACAATTATCATGATTCAGATTTAGAGAAGTAAGATGAAGAGAAATAGGCTTTACCTGGATTTTGATAGCCTGGCGACGCATGTTAAGGAATTCTCTACGAATTTTCCAACCACGAAACCCATGTTGAATACGGGCAGCAGCAGCCATCTTTTTTCTTGTTTCAAAGTTGCGAAAGGCATGTTGAATCCTCATTGCTGCAATTATATTGCGTGCTTCATCCTCGGGATTGGAAAACTGAACAAATTTAGTCCGGACTTTAAGGGAGTGCTCCCTGATTGCAACCTGTATACGTGCAGCTGCATCAGCAGCTGTGCGGTAAGCTGCCAAAGTTTCCTTCAAGTACAACTCGTCTTCAGTAATGTTCTCAGCGCTTATTACATCAGCTGTGCTGGTTTGCAATTTGCCACTCACATTTCCAGCTATGGCCATCTCCTCAAACTGTTTTACTAGAGCCTTTTCTGAAAGATATGCAGCTAACCCCTCATAACCCTTCATTACTGCAACATCAGCAGCAGTGCAGCCACCAGGGTTTTCTGGGGTGGGGTCTGTCACATAGTTTGGCTTTGCCCCAGCAGATAAAAGATGGGCAACCATTTTTTCCCTGGAAAGGAGAACCATATAAATCAAATAAACAAACCAGAGCTAAATTGAGATTGAAATTATATTCCAAAACAAACCATACATGGTCTTCTTTTCATTGATAGAATGTTTCACACCATAGGTTTATAAAAGCTTCTAGTTAGAAAAAAAGAAAAAAAAAAAAAAACGAAGGAAATTTACAGGTCATAGAGAAGACTTGAGCAGCAAAACGCTACCTTCCATAATATGCTGCCCAGTGAAGAGCTGTCCATCCATGTTTATCACGAAAGTCCACTGATAGGCCTGACCATAAAAATAAAGAAATAGCCCAAGTATATCCAAGAATAGCACACAAATGAATAACCCCTTGACCTTGAGCATCATATTCAGTGGTTTTGCAACCTTCAACTATTCTTTCCAAAAGCCATTCCTTCAGTCTATTCTTCAAAATAAATTCAAACAGATGATCTTTTGCTCGTGTAAATGAAGCTTGGCTGTCTTCAGTTAACTTGATTAAATGTGCCCAATAATTAGATATGCTATTGGTCTTTTGAGCAAAGTTCTTAGCCTCGTTCAGGAATTTTGGTGAAACTTTACTGGATAGAATGTTAAGGCTTCTCGATGTAGAGAAAAGCAAACGTGCAAGCCTAAGTTGTAATTTGAACTCTTCCCTCTTGGACTGATCTTCTGGAGGAACTATTGGGTTGTGCATTAAAGGGGTGTGATACTCAAAATTAACAACTTGACTTATTGGTTTATGGCCGTCAAAGCTCAGATAAAGGTTTACCAATCCAGGAGAATTTTGTGATACAAAACAGCGATAAACCCCAACCTGAACAATTTCTGTGGGAACAGAAACATCACCGCATACACAATACAAGTTAGACTTTCCAGGATTTTGATAATCTGGATGAAAGAACCCAGTGATTAGAATCTGCAAAAACAATTAATAATTAATAAAGGTTAAACCAAAACATGATAAACAGATTTATGATTCTCTGTATGTTATTCAAATGATGATTTTAGATATCCTTCCCATGTCCAAGATTGGGGATTACAGTTATGAAAGAGAAGAGGAACGACCATCAGCAGCTTGAAACCTTGGCATGTTTCATCAAGAAAACATGCAAAAAGGAGAGGTTCTTAACCATTATTCAAGTTAAATTAAACAATCTGATTGGTAGCAAAAATTCCAAAAGAAACAGTTAAACCAACCATAGAAGAAAAAATTCAAATACATTTCTGTAAAGCTTGATTCAAGTTTCACTGATATAAACTCGTTTGATTCTATGCTCATCATATTAACACCAAATATCAGCTGTGAACCCACTTTGGGACTTAAGAAGAAATTTTTTTGCAGCATCTATAGCCAGTGAGCCTTTTTATTTTCTTGTTTTGGCCATCCATAGCTTTGTAAGTTGTATCTATGAGTTTCCATAACAGAAAAGGACGAATGTATAGCCCAATCCCATGTCAGCCTGGCCCCATTTGCAACCATACATATACTAAACAAAGTTGTTCACGTTAAAAAATTCAGTTTAAAGGTGATTGTCATAGGATGAAAAAAATTTAAGCTTAAGGATAATCCATCCAAGGTTTAAAAAAATTCAAATACCAAGGTTAAGAAAGGGGAAAAAAACCTTAGTCTTTTCAGCTGAATAGGCCCATCCAGGTGAGATATCGGTAACAGTAAATATCTGCTCCGGCACACAAGATTGATGATTGTTGGCTGCAGAAGAGGTGACCGAATGATTGCTAGATGAGACCAAGGAATCTAGCACATGGTCATCTGTTGAGATTGTAGACTCAGTCATAAAGTAGTTCATCCACTTTCCAAAACTGTCCTGGGTTTGTAATCCATCATTGACCAAAATGTCTAATGAATCAACAGTTGTGACAGCTCCAGAATCCTTTCTTGGCACGTCTGTATAAGCCTCACTACCCATTGTCTGATTAAAAGCACCCTCCAGAATATTAAGATCATCATTGCCACTCTTAGCATTGTGCTCATTTAAGTTTACTAAACCCGAAATTTGTTCAGATACATTGTAGGCCTGAAGTGCGCTACCCTGAAAAATTGAATACATATGAGTAGTTAAGATGAAAAGGGAATATATCTCTCAGTAATCCACAAGTAGAATTTACACATCTTAATTACAAGACAGCTAAGCTTTTCATGACAACATTGGATACTTATGGGCAAGCAAATATAAAAAATACCATGGCAAGGCAACAAACAATAAACTTTATCTCTTTATGTAAACAAAAGTCTAATAATTTTCTCAGTAATAATAAACTTTATCTCTTTATGTGTGTGTGTGTGTGTGTGTGTGTGTGTGTGTGTATAAAGCTAAAAAAATGCTTCTATGGTCAAAAGAAATAAATACAAATCTTAATTAAAAGACATAGAATAAAAGAAAAGAACAAAAGGAAGAGCTTGACTTATCACAAATTGATCGTTTGAGGAGAAATTTACCGCAAACAGATTTTGTTGACGGAAGCCTGAATTCTGGTCTGCCACCAAAAGAAGAAAAATCAGAAATGGTTCTTTTAGGTTCCGTTTAGTAGGGTTGTGATTTTGAGTTTTTGGTTTTGATTTTCAAAAATTTAGAAACCCTAGAATAAAATAAATAAGATCTATAAATTAATTAAGTTTGAAGTTTTGGGAATTAGTTTTAAAGATCTATACACAATAAGTTGCCAATTTTAATTTTAATTTTTAATTTTGGATTTCAATTGTTAGTTTTGATTGTTTGAACTTTGAAAACCAAAACCGAAAACCAACAACCAACAACCAAAATCACACTAAATGGAGCCTTAATAACTGGTTCTATGCTTAAAATACCATAATTCCTTTACCTCCTTTAGGTGCCAATGCCTCATTGGTATTATTTGTCACTAGAAGCTCATCCCATTCAAGTGTATTAAGGTCATGAAGCCTCCTTTCATAGTTTTTAACCATCATACTGTCACTGGGTTCCATCAAGTTTCCAGAAAAAGCTAACAGTGAAAAAATAAGTGAGTATACTTAAAACAATCCTTTCAAAAAAATTTTTAAAAAAATGATTAATTTGTAGAAAGATCAATGACACCTAGAAATTCTATTCTGCCTCACCTGCATATGTTGCATTCCCTGCCCCAGAATCAAACTCTCCAGGTACAAGCCATGAAGGAGACTGGTCAGAACCTGAACTAGAATTTGAGTTCACAGGGGTGGCTGGAGGACCCTGCAACAACATATAAATAAAAGAAAAAGCCAAAATAAGGACATCTCATTTAGCCAATGTAAATTGCATAAAGCAATATATAGATTCATTACTTTTGACAAGAACAAGTTCCAATTTCCAATATTCCTGTGTTTTAATACACAACTGATAAGATAAAATAAAACCAACCTCTCGTGTTTCACGGTAGTGAACAAGAACTATATGTTCCAGATTCCTGAAGTTAAAAGGAAATAAGAGGTCAGATACTATGGAGCAATATTAAAACAGACAACATGCACAACAGAGACAGAAATTCTGAACATTTTCGATACCAAAGCAAATGATGCAGGTAAAAGATTGCAAAGAGAAAGTTATGGATCTAAATTGCATACTTGTCAAGCAACCAGTAACACCTACGAACGAAGGTCGGGTTATCTAGGCCATGTGCATAGTATACATGAATCCTTTCTTCATCACCAACCTGAAACCATGAAATAAAATAAAATTTTCACAAAGTTTTTCAATCTTACAAAATAATTGTTGCCAGCAACTTACCCCACCCCCCCCAAAAAAAAAGAGCTAAGGTGTTTGGCAAAGCTTAAAAAGCATTTGCTTTAAAAGAACTATTCATCTCTCACAAGTCTGAAATTTTGTTAAGGGAAGTTCAAAAAATGTCTTTTTAAGTAGGTTTTAAGCAAGTTTTGAAAAAGCTTGGATGTGCAGCTTTTTCAAAACTTACCCAAAACCCACTTAAAAATCTAATTTTAAGTGTTTCCCTCCAATAAAATTTTAAGTTTGTGAGAGAGAATAGTGCTTTTAAAGCAAGTGGTTTTTAAGCTTTGCCAAACACCCTCAAATATTGTAGAGATAAATAAAAGTATAAACCATTTGATAAAAATTGTGGAGAAAATTCTTTTTATGTAAAACAAATACTTCAAATCTCCAATTATAAATTAAGGAAATAGTGACAGGTTGAGCATTTTGCTACATATGAACATGATAAAACGTTAGAACACATGCAAGCATCATGCAAACCATACCTATTGATAGAGAGAACCTAGATCTAAAAGATTATGCAAAATCCTAGTGACAGTCCATTTGAAAAAATAAATCATAAAGCACAAAATAGAAAGTAAATGAAAACACAGAATAATACACAACTATGCCAAGACAAGGAAACAAAACCAATGTTTGTCCATTCACACAAATGAATGTCTGTTCTGGATTTCCTACAAATGTAACCAATAAAACTAAAGAAACAAATCACAATGAAAATTTGGAATCTTTAAAAAAAAAAGCTGTCCTTTCTGATTAATGTGTTTGTTTAACATTTGGCCAGCCAGCATTGCACAGGATAAAAGATAATGAACCAAGCAGCAAACTAATTTCAGATTGATTACACTGCCACATCTAATCTAAGAACAGAACATTTGCTGCATAAATAAATAATAGAATGTTTAAAAACCATTATTCACTTCGCATGGCAAGCCACATGAATATAGTTTGATGCAACATGTAAAGACCTTAAAAAAACAATAAATCTCACTTTCAGGTGTTCATGAGCTTCTTTAACTGTCTTCCCGTCATTTTTCTTTTTCCAGTTATGGCCATCTTTCCGAAAGTTCCTTAACATTTTTCGGTCAAACAATACAATTGTACCACCTGTTGCATTAATTAAAAACAAAAATTAGATTATGTAGGAATATTTATTAATTAAAACTTAAATAATTCTCACCTAAAACCTGTAGAAGAATCTTCTATCATCCATTACTTGATCTTCAAGATGAAATTTGAACATGAAGGATCAGAAAAAATTTACACGTCTAACACTGTTGAAGCATACTCCAAAAACTCAATCATACTAAGCTATAATCCCAGGCTATTTCGAATTACAACATGAGTCCTTTTTCTACATTACTTTCATTTAACCATTTTACTAAATCAATCCACATGATCATTGACCTACCTTTCTACCAAATAACTCTGTTGTGCTTAACCCTACACGTCAACTCTACACCCAACTAAGCCATCAAAGCTGTCCTCTTAATTTCTCTGTAATGGGTGCTAAATCTATGTTTTCATCAAATAACCTCATCTCATGTCCTGCTCTTTTTCCCTTACTTAGATCCTATGACTAGCATCCTCAGCAAGTTCTCCCACATAAATAATTGGATTAAAATCCCTAAATTCCTTAACAGTGATTAGCATGTATGAAGGTTTGAACCACTCACCTTAACACCAAAACCTAGGCCCCAACAAGCTAGTGATTATCTACCAGGCAAAGCTCCAGAGGTTTAAAGTATTGATTCTGCAACCCCACCCTCAATATTGCTGGCTATTGTTTCGGATCCTAACTCCTAATCATTCTACAGTAGTTACTTAGGTTCTCCATGATAATTCTAAATTTCTAAATAATGATTAATCTGTATCCAAGTCTCATCTATTAGGATACAAATAAGCTCATTCAGACCCATCTAGCAAGCTTGTCCATAACTAGGGTAGCAGATAGAGGGCCTAGAGTGAAAAAATTGGTGTAAACAAATTGTTTTAAAAGAAGAAAAAAGGAAAACAAAAAAAAGAGTCCCCAGTATTACTCAGAATTCTTCTCATAGTCACAGTTGCTCCTGTGCACCCTATGCTTAATCACAAGGATGCACTTAACGGACATCATCAGACATATATCCACAAAAACAGAAATTTGTCTGCGATTAATGATATGCTTACACTAACCATGAACCAAGCAAAAAAATCCTTAAAAGATATAAGTTAATGATAGTTACTTTTGGGCAAGTGGACGGGCTTGATTTTGACTTGAAAATGCTTATAGTTACAAAGTATTGCATGAATTTCATTTGCTCGGAGCCATCTGGAACCAGCTTCCTCCATCATGCTCTTAACATCCAATTCTATTCATCAAACAAGAAAACCATTAGATAGAAAATAAACATGAGAAATTCAATTTCTCTAAAAATAAAAAACTAAAATGACTAAATTAAACTTAATTCTAATTTCACAAAGCAACTAAAGCTGGCTAATAAAAAGATTAGAACTTTGAATTCAACCAATTTTCCTCTGTAATCTTTTAAGAAAAATGCTGTTGGAAGCTGCAATAACTGCAGTGATCATACCTTCCCATGATTGGAATCCATGAATCTCGGAGCCGACAAGCGGCCCCGGAGGGAAGTTGACGTTCATAGCGAAATCCAGGTCCGAGAAGTCGGGACTGATTATCTTCTCTCAACACCGCAACCTACGGCTGGTCCCATTTCCAACGCAAACTGAATAATCCAAAAATTCAAAAGAAAATCGAAAAATTCTAGTTAATGGAGATGAAAGTTACCTGAAATCGGCGGAAGAATCAGAGTAAGAAAGAAGAAAATCAACAACAGAGGAGGGAGGAAAAGATTAGAGTAAGCTTGTGGTGGAAACTGGGAAAGTAGAGTCAAGCTATTTCCTGTTCTCATTCTTCATTAAAGCACTTCAAAGTATATAAAAGAGAAAAAAGAAAGTCAGTACGCTTTGATATATTTTTAAATATCAAAAAGTTTAGTCACAATTATTAAAATAATTGAGTTATAATATATATTTTAATTTTATTAATGATCAAATTAAAATTATACATAAGTCAAATAGTGATGAAAAAGAAACTAATTTTTATATTTTTAATATAAAATAACATAAAAATGTATGATTAATATACTATTAACACATGATATATTAGATAATTCTTAATTTTTTTATACAATTTTTTTTTGAAATTCTAAATTATACAATAAAAAATAATTTTCTCATATCCTTTTAACTCATTTCGTAATCTGACTCAAAGATCACCAACTTACATATCATTAAATAAATTCATACATATAATCTCATGGCTTTTAGTAAAATAAAAAAA